AAATTATTATATAATATTAATTACAATAATAATTATTATAATTACATAATACCTAACGATAATAATAAAAATAAATAATAATAAAAAATAATAATAACGAAAATTATTATTATAAAATTATTATATATTAATAATAGTTAACAAGAAAAGCAAAAAATATATAATAACAAACGTGTTTTGAATATTATAACAATGTTAATAACTATTTTTTTTACACAAAAAAAAACATTCCGAGACTATAATATATAAAATACCATTTGGAAAATGAAAAAAGAAATTAACATCTCGTCGAAAAATCTCACACAAAGTCACAAAATGAATGACGACCTTGAGACATGCAATTCTATAATTATTTTATATTGACTATAATCTAGAAAAACACTTTTCTTGATTCTTGAATAGATTTTTAATAATTTTATAAAAATAATTTTAATTTTAACAAAAATTATTATACAGTATAAATACATTTAAATATTTAATAATAATAGCGGCAAAAAAAAATCAGTAAAACAAAATTTGATATAACAATAAATATATATACATAGAATTTGATTAAATATTTGTCGAACAAATCATTATAAAGAATCATGTTTGAAAAAAAAAAAAAACTGCATATACACCTTATCTAACAACCTTGTCCTGACATACTTTACAAACATTATCTAAAAACAATAAGATCCGCGTCCATTTTGCACAAATAACTCTTATATAATTGTCCCTGTTTGTGAATTTTAAATTTTTGATTTATTCTCAAAAAAAAAGCTCAATAACTCATACACGCCTATACTATCTTTTTATTTTGTCTGATGTGTATAAATATATATATATATATATATATATAAAGATATTGTTTGCGATTCACAGATCCGATAACATATGTTATTAATTTTCAAATTAAAATTAAATTTTTTAAATTAATACTTTTAATTTAGTTAATTACACTTTTTAATATATATATAATAATTATTATCTTTTATTTATTATTTTCATTAAATTTTCTTTAAAAATTAATAAATCGTTAATTGTATGTATTTAATAATAATAATAATAATTATGTATATTCGTTACGATAATACAGGAAGCAGTATAATTAATTTACCATACAAATGATTTATTTAAAAAAATGTTTTATATATTTTTTCGCAAAATTTAAATACTATTCGTCAAAAGCAGTTTTCCATGAAAATGCAGTAACATGAGTATAATACAAAACAATAGACAGTATATTTAATAAAAATAAAAAAAACCAGATGATAAAAACTGATAAAAAAAATTAATTTTACCTTTCAATTTACTTTACCGTTTAGATAATATTTTATTCAATAATAATAATAATTTATTTATTTATTGAAAATATAATAATAATAATAATAATAATAATAATAATAATAGTAATAATAATAATAATTAATATTAAAAATAATAAAAATATTTGATAAGAAAAACAAATTAAAAAATGCAATTTTTCAAATTTATTAAAAATTTTTTATGCAAATATTTTTTTTTGGATTATAGTAGATTACCTGATATTAAACGCGTGAATGTTATTATTTAATATATTCGATTTCATTCATATTCCGATATTCGATAGCAACGATATTATTTATCTTTTATTACAATTGAATCTAATATATAAATGTACTAGATAGTCAGCGGTGCGTTGCGAGCAGGATATACGAATTCAAAAAAAAAAAAAAAAACATTGTAAAACTAACATGTTATTTATAATTATCAGCATTTCGAGGTTTATTTCAAACGAGAATAATATTTTTAATTCCTTATTTGCCGAGTTGCGAAACCGAAATTTTAATGGACTTTTTAACACAGGAAACGAGAGTATTTTAATATAAATATTATTATTATCAATACTTTTTACATTATTATTACAATTGTTGTTATTATTATTTTTATATTATTATTATTGTATTTACACTAGAATAATTTTTATATTATTATTATTATTATTATTATTAATATATTACAATAATTGTGATATTATTTTATATATTTCCTGATTTTAATAGAAAAGGGTTTAAAATTTAATTAAAAAAAAAAACAAGTTTAATATTTACAAATAAAACATTTGCATTAAACACTTTTTTTATACACACTGTGTAATATTAATTGTAATTAATTTATAAACATATGAGAAAAATACAGTTAGATGGGAGAATAACGTTTTCAATGTATGCGTAGAGTTTAATTTAAATAAACCGAACCATTATGAGCATTTTATGAAATAAACTTGGAGTTATTTGACGTTTTGTTTACTTTATGAGACAGGCGCCCAACTTTTCACTTAAATTCATTTTGTGCTAGGCTGGAATGACATTTTCGGTCTTCCCCCAATTTATTACAATGAAAACTGTTAAATCTTCTTATGTATAAAACCCAAAATACATATATATATATAAAGTATTCATTCTTTATACAAGTTTAGGGAACTGTGAATTAGAATTTTCCAAAAAGAAAAAAAAAAAGATATTTACCTTTTTTTTATAAACTATTTAAAAATAGAATTCAAAAAAAAATAAAATAAATAATAATAATATATAAAATTAAAAATTAATTAAAATACTTGATTTAGGAAAATTTTTTATCAATTAAAAAATTGTTTTTATAAAAAAAAATGAATAATGAAACGTCAATAAATGATATAATTCTGATAATTTAATTGTTGTTGAGAGAAGAATTTAAAAGCAATTTTTAAATTTATGTCACGTCTTTTAGATATATATTTTTTTTTTATTTTCAAATTACAACAGAAAAACATTCTTCAGATTATGAATAATAATCATTATAATAAAGTTTTTGTAACAAAAAATCATTTCGAAAATTACCGTACGACATAAAAGAATCCTTTTTTTTTACAACAAAAAGTATATTAAAATTGACAATAATTATATTTACTTCATTTGACAATGAGAGAGACTAATGAAAAAAATATAATATTTTATTTTTAAAATATAATCATAATGTTATTTTCCAAAAATTTATCTATATCAAAAAAAAAATTCTCAAATATTAATAAAATACACATTGACAAATATTTTTTATTATTTAAAAAACGTAGAAAATTATGTCATTTTTTGTTTAAAAAATTAATTGCACTAATTTTTTATACTTAAAAATTAATTCATTAAAAACATTTTTAATTTGAAGAAAAATTAGTAAAAGTTAAAAATAAGTTTTCAAATTAAGGAAGAAACCCATTTGATTTACATCGTAGTAAATTATGTTCTTTGCCTGCGTGGCATTAATAAACTTAATTACCTACATTGTAGTCTCATAAGGTTTGTTATAGGTTTATAAGTTTACAATCAAAGGGTGATTAAATATATATAGAGACATATTATAAGAACGAAAAAAGCTTTAAAATTTATTTATAGAATTAAAGTAAATTTATAAGGTTCAATATAAAGGTTGGAAAATTTCATCTCGAAGTGACGTCAAATTAAATTTAGATTATTTATATATATTTACTTTTAGTAATTTAGTATTTATTTTTATTTTCATATTTATTTTTTTATTATTTATCATATTTCTTTTTTAAATTGGTGTCATATTGTTTTTATTGACTAGGTCAATTTCATTTCATTTTTTTTAAGCTTATTCATTTATTTAAATTAATGACTTGTTTTCATTCCTATGAGTATATATATATATTGACAATGTGCATTTTATTTAACTCTGAAAAATGTTGATCAGTAATTTTATTCTAAATTGTAAATCATCCGGTTTTTATAAAAAAAATATTTATAACTGAAAATGGTCACCAAAAATTATTTCGAACCGAAACATTTAATAATAATAATAATAGTATTTAATTTAATTAATAATAACATTTAATAAAACAATAAAAAAAAAATGTTGACCAAAATGAAAAAAAGTCGGAAAAACAATTTTAAAAATCCAATATTTACAGAGAATTAAATATTCTTTGAGGTTATAACACACACCGCATTTTCCAAAAAAAAAAACTGTAACAAAGTTACTACAATTAAATTTATACTTCAGTAATTTTATTCTTAAAAAACATTTAATGGGAAAAATTTTCTCTTTATATTTTCACTTAATAAATATACTGTTGATTTTAATTTTAACAGAAAAACACTGGCAATTAAAAAATAACACATTCAATATATATTTTTGTCGAATTTTTATTTTGACATTTTGTCAATAATATTTGGTTTGGTGAAACCGCGTGTCAAGAAAAGAAGAAAATTTACATTGTATAAACAATGCAATATATAATAATAATAATAAAAAAAAAATTCTCTGTTATTTTTATATATGTGTGTGTGTGTAAAGAAAATTCTATAGAAAAATGTCTTGTGGCTATTTACTTAGGGTGCATTTTTCTTTCTCTTAACAATGAGGAAAACCAAAGACAAATAATGATTCATATAAAATATTAGAAATTTTAAAAACTGTTTTTCCAAATAAATAAAATCCGATTTTAGTCCATTTTTTCTCTTTTAACACTCCCGAAAAATAAAAGAATAACAAAATATTATGTAAAATCAATGCAAATAATAGAAACAATGAAAATGACATTGCACTTTTTTTCTGTGAAAGAATAATAATAATAATATTCTCCGAGGGGGAAAAATAAAAAAAACAACAAAAATGCAGAGGTGGCAACGCGGCGAGCCTTTAACTCCTACATATACATGTATATATACTATCATGGAAACGCCGATTTTTATCGCCAACGAATGACGTCACACAGCTGAAACGCACACGTCGCCGTCGCAAGCACGTCAACGTCGAAAAGTCGTGCTGCGTGAAAAAATTGCGCGTTTCAAAAAAAATTGTTTTTTTTTCACACGACACATAATCCAAAAAATTTTTTCACAATACTATAATTAAAATATCCCAACATAACCTCAAATAAAAAACATGGAAAAAATTGTAAATTAGATAACTCACGTCGTTATAGAGGGAGGGCGGGGGACAAACATAACCTTACATAAGATGCGAATGGAATGCAGAAGTACCTTATGCCGGAACACGAGGTCCGAAGATCTCGCCCACGATGTCGCCGTGAAAGGTTATGTCGAGGTCGTCGTGGTACGACGAACAGTCTCGCTTTTCTCGGTCAGCGCAATGTTGCCTTTATTTTACTCCAGAGACAGTGAGAGAGAGAGAGATTGGAAAAAATTTGTCGGGGGAGGGAGAGAAAAAAAAATCACTTTTAATGAAAAAACACTCTCGATTTGTCGTCGGTCCCGATGTAACATAAATTGGAGCTCTTTTTTATTTTCTTTTTTTTATCACTTATCACCGAATCGCGCACTGAAATTTTTTTTTGATATCCCTTTTCTTCCTGTCACTTTTAACGATGCCGAATAATGTAAAAAGCACTGTTCTTCCGACTCATAGCAGCAATATCCACAAAAAACACACACAGAGCAAAAATATAGCGAGAGAAGAGTATAAAGCAGCTTCGATCCTCTCGCTGATGTGTTATGTAGCAAGCAAGAAATCCAAACCACCCACACACAAAACTCGCGAACGGTTTTTAGTATTTGAGAGATAACGACCGGTTGGACTTTTTTTTTTTTTTATATTTCTGTATTGTTATTGTGAATAAAATGTGTATTTATTACTGCAGCTGACGGGAAGCATCGAATGCGTTTCAAAGTGAGTGAAAGAGAGAGGGGGTGAAAAAAGATATAATATAGGCGAGCGATGCTGGTTAGGCGACGGAATTATTGCGACTGAGCAGCTCGACACATCTAGCGGGGTCCTGCCTAGCGCGACAGCGACTGTCTGACAGCGATGCCAGCGCCCCCCTTGCTTCCAGTCGTCGTCGTATGTATTCAAGTTCCCCTCCGGAATAACGCCATGGAGTCAGTCTGTCTCTGTTTTGCCTATATACATACTACACACACTTTTAGCTCTTGAGTCAGTGTTTCTCTCTCTTTATTGCATATACATTCTCATGCGCACTCACTCTCTTTTTGATGGTGTATACCACCCGCTCTCTTCTAATACATACACGTTTATTATAAATGTGTGCACACAAATTCACGCACATAGATAAACGATACCGCGAGGAGACCCTCTCCACAGCTCGATAGTGAATATTGAACGCATGCGCGGACGTTCTTCCCCTCTAGGTTGAGTGTGTGCGAGGAACCCAGCCTCTGCTTGTGCATGCCTGGAGAACCGGCAACAGGGTTAGGTTTGGACACTATCGCGCGTTGGTGGGTGGGTGGCAGTGGGTCGGTTGGAGGGGAGGAGGACGCGGATACTGTACATCGACGTAATCTTGTTTCGCCGGACGATAGAAAGAGTGGTGGTGGGGGGGAGAGAGAGAGAGAGAGAGAGGGCGCCGAAAATTCTTTATACCCACGCCGATGCCATGCACACATACACATATACATGGTTCAAGAAAGATCTTTTGGAATACGATATCATCGCGCGAGGAAAGAGAAGACCAGCTGAATTTCTTTTCTTTTTCGGCGCGAATATTGTACAAATATAGATATATTATAAAGTAGTTTTTTGTTGAACTATATATATATATATATATATATATATATATATATATCGATATTTTTTCGAATCAGTCACAACTTATGAAAGTAGAAAAGAAGAGGTTAGGTGTCACATGTGTTAAGTATTCATATATTTATAAAAATAGAAGTCAAATCTATACAATTTTACTGCTGTTTTTTACTGATTGTATGTGGATCATTATTTTATTTGAAGGACCTTGAGTTTTAGAACAGTATTTCAGTAAAATTTAATGCATTTAAAAAAGGAAAATATATAATTATAACCAAGTTTTTATTTATAATTATAAAATTAATTCTCTAAATCTAAATTAGTTAAAGTGAGCTACTAATTTAAATTAGTAAGAATTTTCACTAAATTTTTAGTCACTCTTTTACTAAAAATAGTTTAAAAAAATATTATTATTAGGACCAAATATAATATTAATATATAAATAATAATAATATCTTTTTTTTTGTTTCAGGCATACCATAAGAACAATAATTAAAATACAGAATAAAGATTACATACGATTCCACGTGAAATTTACATATGACATTTTGGATAGACCAATGTAGACCTAATTTCAATGACATCTAACTCTAAAAGTATTGAATTTAGGAATTTTTGCCAAGAGAAAAAAAAATTGCAGATTTTTATCAATTTTCGAAATATGCTAACAAAAATTTTTTAAAAAATTGTTATATAAAAAATAACGATTTTTTATAAAGAAAATTATTTTTTTTAACTTTGGACACAATTTTTTTTATATTTTTTTTATTTTTACATACCTTGAAATAATAAGAATATTTTGCAAAAAGTTTTATAATGGGCCTAATCATCCTTTTTGTTTAAATAATTTGTTTTTTTTTATTTTTCAAAATAAAAAGTTCTTTTTTTGTCCATTAGGATCTTTTGCTTTATCCATAGAAAATCAAATAAAAATGCATTTAATTTTGATAAAAAAAAAGAAAAAAAAAATTTTTTTTAATCAAATTATTTAAATAAAAAGGATTATCAGGCCCACTCTAAAACTTTTTGCAAAATATTCTCAGTATTTCATACCATAATTAAAATCCCCCCCTAGAAATCGCACATCCACTCTTACAGTCCAAATAGATGCGTGTAAGGAGAATCTGTAGTGATTTCCCCACTTGGTGCCCAAGGTTGTGTCCCTTCCTTGAGATAAACTTATTTTATTTCTATCTATTGAAAGTGATTTAAGGAAATACATACAGAACTAAATGTACACATTGTGATTTAAAGAAAATTAGTATTATTGAACAATAACAATTATTTTTGAAATTAATTGATATAATGGTAAAGCAGATTCAATTTATCAAAAATTAATCTTCTCCTTTGATAATAATGTAATTTGATTTATGTTATTCTTTACTGTATAAACTTATACTGAACTTTAACCATTATAGCGCCTACCTAGATTTAGTTAATATTTTATATTTTGTATTATTACTTACGTAACTATTAGAATTTAGGAGTACTTTTGTACGAAAGGGCATGTCCCGTTAATAAATGAAATTGAAATTGAAATTTCCAGGTATGTAAAAATAAAAAAAAAAAGTAAAAAATATCGGGTCCAAAGTTAAAAAAAAATTAATTTGTTTATAATCGAAAATTTGGGCACATATTTATTTATTTATATACATTCCACGCGGACCATTTTTTGGTTCATAAATGGGTAACAAAAAAAAATATAACATTAATAGTTTTTTTTTATATAAATGTAAAAAGTAAATTAAGCCTAAACTATAGTGATTGAGACTCTGAAGGAACCTAGACTGGAATGAATTAAACAGATCTAAATTAGGTTTAAATTTAGCAAACATTTGATTTATGTGGTAACAAGCAAAAAAAGTGGTGCATTAAAAAATGTTGATGATGGAAGATCTTTTAAATAAAAAGCAGGGTGTCTAACGGGCAGGGAAAGTCAGAGAAATTTCTGCAAATTTTTACAAAAATTAAAATTTTGTGTAAATTTAAAAAATTTTTAATCTAAAAAAACTTGAATGGTTTTTATTACCATTTGTTACTACCATTAGAAATTAATTTATTGTTAAATATGTCAGTAACCATATTTTTGTCCAAAGAAAGCAGAAATAAGGTTATTAAAAAGTCAGGGAAAAATCAAAAAATGTCAGGGAGGAGTCAGGGAATTTTTTTCTCAATCCTTGTTAGACGTACACCCTGAAAAAGGCTCAGTGCCTAGGTGATCAAGTAAATTATTCAATATTTTAAGCTAAAAATTTTAGAAATCTTTATTGTAAGTAATTGACGTCTTTAGAATATCTTCTATTATATTAAGTTAACAAATTTCCAAAAGCGACACCGACACCGTGAAAATCTATTTTTACTTATTTTCAAATTAATCAAAATACTTTGCCATATGCTTTTAGAAAATCTTACATACTTTTTTTTGTAACATGTTTTTTCAATTTTAACCCGAAAAAGGGTTATTTTACATTTTCATCCCAAAAAAGGGTTATTTTGCAATTTTTTACGAATTTTTGAATATATACCTTTAAAATCTCTTTATAAATGTTTACTCTGGATAATAAAAATAAAAACCGATATTTTAAAAGGTTTTTCGATTTATTATGAACATTTTTCTAAAAAATTTGCAAAATCTCCATGTGTTTGTGTGGCAATTTACAGCAATATAATATAATAGAATATAAAAAAAAAAATATTATAATATAATATAATTAATATTGTTGTTATAATTATAATAAATTAAAACATTTAATATTTAACAATTGTCATTTCATCCTTCAATGATACTGATCAAAGTTAAGATAAATTTTATACAATATTAATAATATATTAATTTAAATACATCGCTAGTTTATTATAAAAGGAATATGTGAAAGTCACCTCTAAATCCCGAATAGAAAAAAAACCCTCTACAATTCATGGTCACAAATTTTATAAGGACAATGTAACTGTGCTAATACAAACTAATATTAACTGTGTTAATATAAAAAAAATACGTATTTCACTTTTTTTTGCAAAAAACGAAAAAAAAAATATTTAACCGAATTTAATATCAAACTTAATTTTAAATTTATATTCATAAAAAAAAATTCTATTAAATTTATAAAAATAATTAGCGATAAGAAACATTAATTTGTGAAAAATTTAGTTACTGATTTTTTGTTACGAATTAGTTAAATTTTACTTTAATGAATTAGTGAAAAAAATTACTTTTGCTATTTTATTAATTTTCAATCGATAGTAATAATACTTATCTGGGCCTTGTTTGACGTAGAAATTGTACAAAATTTTTGAGTAAAAAAAAAATTAGCAATGTGTACATTCATTTATTCAAATATTATTAATTTTTTAATTATTAATTGTTATTTAACTAAAATAAAACCAATATACTTTATAAAGGGGTTGTTGGATGCGAAATTTAATAAGCTTTCGATTGGTAAGTTCAGAATTACGGTAACTTTATTTGTTTGTAAAATATTTCATTTTCGAATAGGGAAAACTGGTGAGGCCCTGATTAGTTTTAAAACATTAGTATAAAGATTCCTTTAAATTGTTAATCTTTCCTTTTACAAAAGTTAATGTTAAGAACTTAGTTTACTTATTCGTAGTTTATTTACATTTTCTTTTAAACAGGGAAAATAACTCCGCGATCCACGATCCAACACTGCCAGACGGCATTGTCGATAAGGTCGATGTTCAGCAATATAAACACACAAATCAGCCAAAGCGTTGCGTGTTTTTCATTAAAAATTGTGTATCTTCGTCAGTTTTGAATAAATCGATCTGAATTTTTCCACAAAACTTCTTCGATATGTGAGGAACAAATGTCTCACTGGAAGTTTTTTCAACGAAAAAGTTCCCCACAGACTTTTTGTCGGCGAAGATAAGAAAACGAGAGTACAGGTAAGTTATTATTTAAATTAATAAATAATTAAATAATTTACGGTTTTTAACTTTTTCATCATGCTATCGTCTTCTCTAGACCTAAATGCGTGGGTATACAAAATTTGAAGTAAATTCATTAATATTTGTCGGAACTGGAACGATTTGTGTTTAAAAATAAAATTTGTTGATTGAAAATATTTAGTTTTTCGCAATTATTGTCAAAACTATTCGTTCTACAAAAAAAGGTAAGGAAAAAAAGATGCGTCGTTTTATTTTATACAACGTAGTATATTTCAAAAATCAAAATTTTGAATTTTTTCGACTTTTTCATTCGTTGACTGCCTTCAGCGCGGCCGGTCCGAGCGTCCGTCTGGTTATTGCATTGGTGTCCTCAATTACGAACAATTTTATT